AACGTCATCTTGTCTGGAGTCAGAACTGATAACAACTGCTACATCTAGAAGGAGTCTGTGAGGGAGACTGCAGAGAGTATATCAGTTCTGGATTCTGATCTTAGTTCAAAGCATGCTTTTGAAAACAGTGCTTAAAGAAATCACATCATTGAGTCTGATCAGAAGAAGTATCACAGGAATCACTCTGCATCAGATATAGTTGGCAGGTTGAATAACGTGAAGATAACAAGAGTGAAGCAGATTCACTACAGAGAAACGTTGGAGTCCTTCTGCTTTCACTTTGATGGAAAATGAAGACAGTCAAGTTACGATGAATGAAGGATGGCTCAAGGCTTGCCAAGAAGAGCTGAATCAGTGCTTCAAAAATGGTGTTTGGGATTCTGTTCGCAGGTCTGGTAAAGGAACTAGCAATACTCTGAAGTGGGTCTATAAGGACCAGACCAGTGAATACGGATTTCTTGTCAGGCGAAAGGCTCGTCTTGTAGCTAAGGAGTACTCCAAAGAAGAAGACTGTAACTTTGATGAAAATGAAGCTTCCGCTGCTTGTTTTGAATCTCTGCGTCTTCTACTTGGAGTGGCTTGCTTTTTGAATGTTCATCTTCATCATATGAGCGTTAAAAAAAGTTGTTCTGAATGATGAGCCTGAGTGTTCAAAGCATGTACTGTGTCCTACGGAAGTTGTGTATGATGTTAATCAGACTAAAGGTGTCTGGTATGATAACATCATAAAGTACATGTTGGCAAATGGATGTATAAGAGGAAGTGCTGACAAAAATCTGTTTGTTCTGAGATCTGAAGGACACTTGTTGTTTGTACAAGTGTATGAAGGTGATTAGGTGTTTGGAAGCACTAACATACAACTGGTGAAGAATCTTATCAACATAATGACTTAGGAGTTTGACCTGAACCTGAGAGGCGAGTTGAGTTACTTCAAGGGGTTACAGATTCTACAAACAGATCATGAAATTTGCATCACACAGAAGATGTATGCATAGAAGATAATCCTAAAGTTTGGTCTACAAACCAGCAGGGCTGCAAGGACCCCTAAGAGGAATACTGACAATCTGAGATCAGATTTGGCTGGAGAACTAGTGAGTAGAAGGTTATACAAAGAAATGATAAGAAGGCTGATGCGTCTAACTGCCAGCCGATCAGATTTGTGTCTCAGTGTGACGATTCTTTCAAATTTCCAAGCTCAACCTCGGATGCACCATCTGACTGCTGTTAAACGTATCCTTAAATATGTCAAAAGAACACTTCATCATGGTTTGTATTACACTAAGCAAATGATGCACAAAAACTTTGATGCGTGCAGGGTTTAGATGCATATGCAAGTTTTAAATTTATAACCCTATGAAACTGCAAGTGCACAGTAGACAATTGTAGTACTTAGGGGTCGATCCACAAGGACTAGGTGATGAATGCACTACAAACCTATATGATTCGAATTAAGCTAAGGAAAAATATTATTTGATTTTTAGGGTTTCTATTGAAGCAAATAACAAGCAATAATTAAAGGGATAGATAGATCAATTAAAATGAGAATTCAAGCAACTCACAAAACATATGCAAAACACAAGCAATCGAATTAGGGTTTTTAGACTAGTTGTTCTGGAACTTATATCACTAATGTAAGGTCATCCCACTATCGTGACGTAACTAACCTTCTACATTTTCTACCCTAATAGACTCAACTATCCCAGGTTATTATAAGGTGAAAACATGCTTTATGATCAAGATTGACTGTTCACTAGACTCCTTAACTAACCTATCAAACTG